TATATAGATAATGTTGACAGTACTATAGGAATAACTATTTAATCTCTCACAGACTCAAGTTGCTTATCTACATTTTGCTGTTAGTTAAAAAAAAAATAAGCTAAGAGCTGTTAACCAGCCCAACTCGATGAGGCCATGGTACATATACATATAATATCAGCAAACAAGTACTATTTCTAATATTGAATTAATATTCTTTTTCAAGTGCACACTTTAAATAATAACAATAGAAAGCCTAGTTGTCTCCATGATCTGTATATAGTGTTAGGGAGATATAATGAATAGTCTATCTGGCTGGAGAAACCAAACTGTTTCCCCTTCCCCATCATGTGCAACAAACAATTCAAATACTAAACAGAATCTGTATACTAGGAGTGTCCTATTGCTGTGGAATGGCTTACACAGTAAAAGGGGTATATTCTTTTTTTTAAAGTACCCCACATTTACCCTCCACACATCTCCCAACAACAAATTTTTTTGCATTGTTCCAATATTACCACATTTTCATGTGTTCCTGATAATTAAAACACTTTAAAAAAAATCAATATATACAAATTACAATGTCTGCAGAACATGAGAAGGATAAGGATATTTTGGTTCTTTCAATACAAATGCTTTACCGTTGTGTTATAGTGCACACAGTATTTACATGGTACAAACTGATTTAAGGGACCACTAAACCTATCACAAAAGGGTACACTATATAAAGAACTACTAACAACATTTATGCACATGCATGTAAAAGTATTAACACCTGAACAGGGACAGAATTATGTGACAGCCGACTGTGTGAGCAGCTGTTGGCAGTTTTCTTCTATTGAATTAACAGGACAAATCAGTAGTGTTTGAAATGATTTCCCATTATTCCAATTTAATGCTTAATGTAATCTTTTATTACATTTCTAAAACTTTCACATAGTTATCCATAATGTTAAAGATAATGTTTTAATGTTTTGTGTTTTTTTAAATTTATGCTTATTAAGATTTAAACTACTGACTATAAACGTTTTTAAGGAGTAATTTCCTTGCAGCCAGCAGAAATTAAATGGGATCTTAATTTAAATGCAGACTCATAGTGTAGACTTTTTGGTACACTATAAATCCCTTTTCTTTCATCGCCCTCTTTAGGTTAAGTGTGACTAAATCAGGCCATTTAATTCAGTAAATTACACAAAACATGTTACGTGTTTTTATCACAGTCATGTAATTCCCTCCTATGTTGTTTTTAAATTTCATTATTTACGTAAACAAATATACTGTACATGTGGATTTTGTTATTACATATGTGACTCTTTAGCTTTAGTGGTCCTTTAAATTGCACCTGCCACCCATGCCTAAAGGCATTTTAAGAGCTGAAAACCTTTAGCCAATCATTTCATCCTGAACGAGTAAAACTCCCAATCAATTCATCTTGAACGAGTAATACTCCCATGTTGTGGGACATTCCAATGCAACACCAAAACGTTAACTTATATGTTGAAATATCAGTCCAGCTAACAAGATGATGACCTCTGTTAATTATGGACAGCAAGTACATTCTATGGAATAAGATTATCATACTCATGTATAACATAACAGATGCCTTGATTCACATTTATCACTTTGAATATGAGATGCATCTAACTTCTAGTGGGCAGAACTGCAGGGTTACACATATGGAAAGCTCAGTGCTCATACATGAGTCAAATGTCAAGTGAGCCCTCAGTTTAAGTCATTAAGAAAAATATACACTTATACATTTACAAAAAAAAAAAGTGAAAACATAGCATATGAAGTCAAACACCAAATACAAACATTTAATTATAATGTCTTGAAATCCTACAAAATTCTTTTCAGACACTACCTAGTGTCAATATGTTCTTGCTTGGCAAAGATCACTTTATCCAAAAGACATGCAAACACGGTATTCTGCGGACTGAGCCTTTAGAGGCAGTTAACCACAAATATTGGATATTTTTGTGGTATTTTTAATAATTCCAAATAACATTGGGAAGGCACACAAACAGAGATTCTATTTCAAATTGCCTGATCATGGAAATCAGATGTGATACCCTGTGTTTTTTTTAACAAAGATTGCCCATATAAAGGCTCCTTTCTGCTTTTTTCATATAAAAATAAGGTTTCTCCATCCTAATTACCAACACAGAGCCCATATAGCTGGCTTTTGACATATACAAACGCTCAGTCATATTTTTAAATTATGAAAATATGTCAAGAATGTCTTAGAAGAATTTAGTTTTAAATTAATGTTTCCATACAAAAGAGCATCAGTTCTTTTTCTCTAAATAGTTTGAAGGCACCCATCCTTTAAAAGGTTTAACACTATCAAGGATATGGCAGTACCACCATCCATTTGGGTTCTTCTCCAAAACTTCCATGGAAACACCTTCTTCAAATCCAACAGTTTCATCATCTCCTTCATAATCAGCAATAGAGATATAAATATCTTTAAGGTTATTGTGGATAAACTGAGATTTCTCAATGGGCTTTGGTCGGACTGTTGACACTGGTATTCCATTCCGTTGTGGAGACCTGACCGATTGTTCTGTCTGTGAGGTCTCAGATTCTGTTTTATCAGCCTGCTTTAATTTTGACTCATTGGCTTGACTACGAACAGTGTTAAAGGAGGAGTTTCTCCGAACAGACCTCAAATGATCAGTAGCTGAAAGCGATTCATTCCTACGCAAATGGGAAGAAATATTGTTTTCCTTAGGGGGTGGGGAAACAAACACTGACTGAGGTCTTACAGCAACTTGTTTCACTCCATTTCTTAACTTCACAACATTGTTTCCTAGCATTGTAGGTTTAGAGAATCCACCTGGGGGACGGGAAGGAACTGGGGGTGTTCTTTTGGTCTGGTTAATAGTATTTAGTGCCTGAACTCTTTTTTCTATCTTTTCCAGACTGTTGGATTTATTTTCATTTTTTCTACATTTGGTAGATTCAGGCTCAGGCACAGAGGTGTCAAGTTGCTTATTATCTACTTGTTCTAGGAAATGAGATGGTGCCCACCCTTCCGAATCTTTGAATCTTACATACCACCAACCACTATCTTGTTTTTCCAGGACTTCTACTTTTGCTCCTGCAGGGAAGCTAATTTCGGTGTCCATGACTTTCTGATAAGTACTTGAAGCTGTATAGAATTTTTTGTCATCGTTTTCTCCAGGTTTGTCTTTGTTACCTGAGCATATAAAAGAGTTGGTGGAAGTAGGCGTAATATCTACTGAGCTTCTTCTTGGTGGGCTTTCAATGTTGTCAGACGCACATTTTGGTGGACTTTCAGATTCTTCACTTTTTGAACCTTTAAGCCCACTTTTCAGCTGTCCTGTTGGTCTCAGTTGCCTTCGCAATGTGCTAATGTCCATTTTTTCCTGGCTTTGGGGATCAGTCTTATTTAAGAAGGGTTTGGGTCTAACAGATGGTTTGGCTTTAGTTGATGGTAAAATTGCAGGTTTTTGCTCAGGTTCTTTTTTGGTTGCAACCTTTGGCAGCGAACGTACACTAGCATCTGAAACAGATCTTGTTTTTTGTTGGTCATTTGTTGAGAAGGATACATTCTTTCCTGTTTCTTGCTGGACATTTCTTTCCATTTTATATTTTAGAAGTGGTGGTCTTGAAGTGGTTGCAGTAGGTGAACATTTCTGAATTACTATGGAGCTTCTCTGTGAATCAGAGTCTCCACTTGACTCCTTATTTGACGCAGAGTCATCCACAAAAGGACGGAATCCATCATTTTCATAAATAGTTTCTTCCTCGTTAGTCAGATCTTCACTGGATGCCCCAACTTTAAACTTTGGTCTCTGAAGTGAAGATACTGGAGAAGGCTTTGAAGGCTGAAACATACTTTCAAAAATTTCATCCTCTAAAAGTGTTTGAGAAATGGAATCATTTCCATCAGACAATACTTCAAAAGTGAAAGCTGGAACATCATATTCTGGTTCTTCATATTTTGTCTTTAAAGGAGAGCCCTTAGACTCCCCAGAGCAGACAATACTAGTGGCTGAAACTTCTTCTGGATCTTTGGGTTTTGTTGGTGGAGCAGGTGGTGGAACTTTGGGTCTTGTCAAAGTGCTAGTCCTCCGATTTAAATTTGGTTTCTTTCTTTTGTCAATATAGGAGGAGGGTGCCCATCCTTCTTTTTCACCAATCTGGACATACCACCAGCCACCAGAATTCTTATCAATTACCTAAAAAATAAAAAAAAAATGAAATGTGAGTAACAGATATTTATATCATTTTATTATAGCTTTTTAAATTATGTATTCTGACAAAATCGCTCAAAGGCAAGCTTAAATTGCAATTGATGGTTTAAAGATGAGCTACATCAGGCTTTGCAAAAGTTAAAAGTCGGCAGCTACAAGTACTGTAGCAGCTGAATATTAAAAAACACACACGCTTACCAGCCAGGTATGCTTGCTTACAATAGATGTTAAATGAATAGCTTAAATCTTAGAAAATCGCTTGATTGCAATACAATTATAAACCCCACCCAAACAGGCTGTATACCTAATAAATCAATGGCCTTTAAAAATTAAGATAACCTTTTAAATGTACAAATGCCTCTAAATAATATGGAAGCCAAAGGAATATGATCTCTAGATGCCTTTGATAGTATTGAGTGGCCTTTGTTACCATTAATTTAAATTACAACATAGCAATCATCAAATGTGCCCAGTATCCCCATTATCATCTGCTATGGCTATGAACCATTGACAGAGATGATCAGACATTCTTTGGACATGACTGGATTTAAACACAGTGTTTAAAAAAATAAATATTTGTATTAAGTTTCCATAAGTATATGTAAACAAGAAACATGACAGATATGCTCAGACATACGAAGATGAACTGTGAAGTTCATTTATAATCATATGAACTGCACAGTAACCCTGAGCCAATTCCCGTTACATTCAATATATCATATAATTTCATGATACGTATGTTGTCTCTTAAAAAGAGAACAGATCACTAGACAATGGGATCATATGAAGATCAAGAACTCATGTAGGTAAACTGGAAATGTTCTACACATAGTGATGTGTTTCGCAGACACAGTCTGCTTCTTCAGACTGTTTAGGTATAGAAACCTCTCCCCATATCTGTTGGAATAAATAGGTGTATCGAAAAGTCAGAAAAGTTGGGGGTTTTTAGGCAGCCGACTGACAACTTGCACACCAAGAATTTCTTGAAAAAGTATATTTTAATTGATTAAAAAGCAAATAGAATTGATAAAATTGACAACATGATTCCCCTATAAACTCACTCCACATTGATTAAATTCATTCATATGTAGATGACAATCAGAATTCTTGTGCAATTGAACATGATTGAAAAAGCATGATTGAAAAGTTCATAATTACATAACATGATCTTCCATTATATAAATCATGTTATGTAATTATGAACTTTTCAATCATGCTTTTTCAATCATGTTCAATTGCACAAGAATTCTGATTGTCATCTACATATGAATGAATTTAATCAATGTGGAGTGAGTTTATAGGGGACTCATGTTGTCAATTTTATCAATTCTATTTGCTTTTTAATCAATTAAAATATACTTTTTCAAGAAATTCTTGGTGTGCAAGTTGTCAGTCGGCTGCCTAAAAAACCCCAACTTTTCTGACTTTTCGATATACGACTCTCAGGGGTGTTGGCATCCTAAGCCTTGATCCAGGTCACTGTCTTTTCAAATCGGAATAAATAGGTGTAAGAGAAATAACTCCCTTCAAGGTTTTTATTAGTATTTACAATTTCATCATGAAATCGGCTCCCAGGATGAAGTGTTGTCTGGTCTTTCATAAGGTATTATTTACTCTGCATAACACATAATAATCCATAAATATATAATAAAATATCCCCTGAAATGCAGAGTGCAATATTCTCAAGATAAAGTCAATGTTGAGGATAATGAATGGTCAGAGATATTAAGGGTGACTCTCTCTGTCTCGATATCAGCCTCTCAGTTATTTATTGTCCAGAGGACATATAGAAACTCCTCATTCACTTTACAGAGTAGGCCTTCACAATAGTCCTAACTGGACTAGATGTGGACAGGACCCAGGAGAATCCATAGCTCTTATTTGGAGATTCCCTAAACTGGTAAGATTTTGGAAAGATTTTGTTTAACATATTAATGCTGTTTCTTAAAAAAACGTTACATAAATAAAGATATTAAAGTATTTTGGGGCATCTGGAGGTTCTGGAAAAGCAAGCTATTCTGAGACTGGGGCTTAGTAGAACACTGTTTCTTGCAAATAATTTGACTGCATAAAAGTGGATTTCGCCTCATCCACCAACAGTGGCGGAATGCATATCGTCAATCAATTCAAATGCATGTAGAACAGTTCACGTTTCAAAACATTTAGGTGGAATGGCTTCAGTTATCTGATCTTGTACCACGTTGATGAGCATATGACATATGCTACAAGCCTAGGAATGTTAGAATAAAAAAAAGTTTTTTGGGGGTTTTTTTTGGACCAGGGGCACAGGATTGATTAAAATGTGTAATTTTTAAATTATGTAAGGTTAGGTTTCATTTAGTATTTTTGTTTTGTGGATTTGGTTTGTCCTGCATTGTGATGTTTTTCTATGGTATTTGTCAGAAAAATTAAAATTTTCAATAAATAAATTATGAATAAATAAAAAAAGTATCAGCTAATATTTCACCTTTTAAGGAAATTATGACCTAACCAGTCATATTTGGCTAAGAACTATGGTTCTGGTATGAAGACACATTTGAGGGTCACATGCCCTTCTGTAAATAAGGTTAGATAGTACAACGCAAGTATCAAAGAAAGGAGATCTATGCTTACATCAGCCTTTTGACCTCCACGGAAACTTATCCCATCAGATATACAGGACTGGAACTCAGCAATAGTGTAATATTCCACTTCTACTGATGGTGGTTCAGGTGGTTTTGGCAACTGGAATCCCTGTTGAACACAATAACAAGAATTACCCATTACAAAACATGGCCAGGTGCAGGTATGCATAAAATAAATGATTGTCAGTGTGCAAAGTTATCATTAGTGCATGGTGAAGGCTCTGTTAAAGTGACACTAAACCCAGCAGTTGAATCTTACAAAATGCATTCACGTACCATTCCCATCAAAAATGTAGCTTATTTGTGTGTCACTCGGCTGAAGATCCTCAAATCATCTCTGAATTCATGCCAACACTATCAGGAAGGTTTGTACTTGTGTTCCCTATGGTCCCTGTGTGTGTTGTGAAGTAGCCACTGCTCCAAACTCACTCCCGTAATAGACTACAATCTCACGTTTAGTTTACCAATTTGTATAGAGATTGTAGTCTATCATGGGAGCGGTGACACTTTATCATTCCTTCTGGAGGGCAGCTACTTTTGTTGCCTATGATCCCTGTGTGTGTATTAAAGTAGCCACTGGTCCACATGCGCTCCCATGATTGACTACAATCTCATCTTTACTTTACCAACATTGTATTGAGATTGTAGTCCATCACGGGAACAAGTTTGGAGTGGTGGCTACTTTACAACACACATAGGGACCATGGGGAACAAAAGTAGCCATCCTCTAGAAGGAAGGACAGTGTCCGCACCAATTCAGGGATGATTTGAGGATCAATAGCTAAGTATTTTTTTACTAAGGGGGTTATTCACAAAAGGGTGAAGAGTTGGGAGAAGACAGGAGAAGTGAACAATCTAGGACAAAATAGCTGAATTGGAAAAATTATCCAATTCAGTTCACTTTCTAGTTCAGCTATGTTGTCCTAGATTGTTCCCTTCTCCTGCCGTCTCCAAACTCTTCTCCCTTTTGTAAATAATCCCCTAAGCTTTTTAGGAGCAATATTTAGAAGGACTGCTACCTCAGCAAGTTAAACGGTTCCTGTCTTGGCTGCTGGTCTAACCCCACATTAAATTATTTAAGGATTTGTGACCATGTAAATTAAATTCCAATAAACAGCCCCATAGCAGTAGGTGACATTTTCCACTGGACACCTAAAAAGTGGACCTTTACCCCCTTTGACTAAAAATCACATCAGCATACAGCTCTGCATACCAATATGAAATGATGTTACATTCATTAGCTAAACAAACATATTTCTATTTTACTTATAATTTCTATTTTACACTTTCTGATCTACTTTGGCACAAATTATGTTATTGTGCACAAGCATTGCTTCCTGGGGAGGTTACATCAACAGTGTATTGCTGGGAAACCTCATGAGATCTCAGGGAAAGGCATTTTCCTCCTCTGAGATGATGTGCATTGTCACATGTCCTAGTCACATGTGCCAGAGTTCCAGGAAGTAAAGGGAGATCTAATAACCTGCCCTTTGTTAAAATGGCCACTGTCAGAAAACTGGTAAAGAAAAGAAAAATAAGGTATGCAAAAAATTAAAAGCCTGCAATCATCTATAAGTATGTGTAGATTGTTATTACTAAACATTCCTCTCTCTCTCTCTCTCTCTTATATGAACGCATTGAAAGGGGGTTAAGATGGAAGA